CCTTGTTCCCCCCCCCCTCTCCCGCCCCCCCCGTAGTGCAGAGGGGGTCCGGCGTTCCCCCCTTCGCGCTTCGGGGGAGCGAGGGGTGCGCATGCTTGGTGTTGTGGCCATCGAGGGGATGGGACGGACCCCCTTCATCCCCCACAGCACAAAGGGGGTCCGGCGCCGGACCCCCTTCGTGCTATGCCCGTCATCGGATCGGATCTCGGACCCTCGTCCTTCCCCGCGGCACAAAGGGGGTCCGGCGTTCCCGTCCTCCCCCGCCGCACAAAGGGGGTCCGACGTTCCGGGAATGCCGGACCCCCTTTGTGCTGTGGCCATCAAGGGGAGGGGACGGACCCACTTCTTCCCCCGCACCTCAAAGGGGGTCCGGCGTTCCCGGAACGCCGGACCCCCTTGGTGCTGTTGTCAGCGACGGGGAGGGAGGGGCCCCCTTACTCTCTTGCAGCACCGACATGGGTCCGGCGTTCCGGGAACGCCGGACCCCGCTCGGTGTTGCTAGAGGTAGGGGGAGGGAAGGACATGAAACGCCGCGGGGTTTCGTCAACGAGGCGGGCGAGGGAGGGGTTCGGCCGACCACCGTGCCGACAGGCACGCTGGTGGGGTCTGCTATTTTGGGGATGCCGGACCCGCACACACAACGGTCGTGGGGTACGGCGTTCTAGGAACGCCAGACCCGCTGCGTGGGGCGGTAGCAAAACTCCCGTGTCGCGACGGATGCTTCTTCATGTCACTTAGTGTTGTTTTCTTATTGTCTTTTTCTGTGCGACCCTTCAGGAAAAACAGCGTCTGCCTCCGCCCCCGAAAAACGGTACGGCAGGTCTAAGCTCTACCACGACAAACCATGGGCTCTTGATTGGGTAGGTGGCCTTCATATGCCGGGTTGCGGAGCCGTTGTCTTTTTGAGCGATGACAATGGCCTGAGTTGGTACTGCTGCGGAGGGGTGGAGAAATCGGAAGCGGGGAGGTTTACCTACGACGGCAGGAAGTTCAGGACCTTCTTCCTTACGTCTGTCTATGATAGAGAGGGGAAAAACTTGGTCAAGGAAGATAAGAAGGTGTCTCTTGACCATCGGCTCTTCCAAGGATACGGGATCAAGGCTTTGTCGATGAAAGCGTTTGACGTGCGCGGGAACGGAACGGAGTTCCAAATGCTGGATCCGGAAAAGTTTCTTTCCAAAACCAATGGCTACCGCGTGACTGGTTCCCTGCTTGTCGTCGACAGCGCTTTCATGCTCAGCAGACCTTTGGTCCAATTCAACAGCCCGGCGGACCAACTCGCAGCTTTCGTTATGCGATACAGGGAAGAGTTCGCGAGGCTGCTTGCTGCCCAGCAAGTTGACCGTGTTTTCGTGCCGATTGACGCCCCGTCTTCGTCGGCTGCGGGGCCCAAATGGCGCNAGTTCGCGAGGCTGCTTGCTGCCCAGCAAGTTGACCGTGTTTTCGTGCCGATTGACGCCCCGTCTTCGTCGGCTGCGGGGCCCAAATGGCGCGAAGATCAGTCGGCCAGAGCGGGTGGAAAGAGGAAGCAATTGCCGACTGCCCCGTTTTCGTCGGCTGCGGTTGTCCAGGCTCTGCCCGCTCCGGTTCCGCCCTCGGATCGGCAAGGTCGCAATGCGGCCGAGCTGTCCAGCGAGGCCACAGACTACGACGACCGAGCTGTGCGCTATCGGGCTGGTCCCCAACATCGTTCACGGGGAGGTGCAGGTGCCTTCGATGATGAGGAATGCGAGGGCCAAGATGGGGAGGGCGGTGGTTGGGATGGGGAGGGCGGTGGTGAGGAGGGGGAGGGCGGTGGTGAGGAGGACGAGGGCGGTGGTGAGGGGGACGGCGGTAACGAAGGAGATGTTGAAGGTGAGGACGATGGCATGGACGAGGAGAGAGACGATGTTGGCGAGGAAGTCGAAGACAATCGCTCCTCCCAATTTCATCGTCGTCACCACAACGAATCGCAGGGGCGCCGTGAGGACGACGCCTGCCGTGTCGGTGACGCGGTCGATGCTGGTGGCCAGCCTGCAGCCTCCCGCGGAATGTCGCAGTCCTATGACCAGACGAAGGATGGGAGACACGAACCTGGCTCACGGAGAAAGCGAAAGAGGGGAGAGGCGTCGACCTCTCCTGCGAGTCGAACAAAACAGGCGTTGGCCGACACCGTCAATGAAGCTCGCGGAGCGTTGACGGCATCACAGGAAGCGCGGGCTCCTCGGAAAACTGCTGGGGGGGGCGAAGTGGCAGCCGCGGGGGCGGTCGCGGCGGMGGTAGGAAAGGCTCGCAGAGGTCCAGGGCACCTGAGCTGCGGACTCGGGGGATGAGGGCGAGGGGGTGGGGCCTCGCATGCCCGAAGACATTGAAAAGCTGGTTCAGGACGCCGCGCTCGTGGACACGGCACAATGTTTCTTCCTCGAATACAACGAACAGGGCTTCGCCAGGCAAGACGTCCAAGTTGTTAACATCGACGTTAATAGGATCAAACCCATTCCCCGTGGGAAGATCCTATTTAACCACCGTTTGTTATCTGAGAACATTGTGAGAGGCATCGAGAGTGCCATAGAAAGCTCCATCAGTGCTGACCCGGGGGTGTGGGATAGACCTGAGGTCGTTCTTGCGCCGGTTGACCCCAACGTCATCGTCGGGGGGCAGGGAAGGCGAATCACGCGGGACGAGTTCTTCCAAAGAGATTCTGCAGAGTTCGACTGGTACGCTGTCTGCGGTCAGCATAATGCCGAGGCCATGAAACGGTTGGTTGGAAACGACTCCCCCGCGGTCAAAGTCTACGGCCTTCGCACGTACTCTAAAGTGCGAGTCGTCTTTTTCGATGATGACCACACACGCGGGTACTTCAATGTCTCCCTCTTCGACAACACACGGGAGAATCGCGCCATGATGTTATCCTTCCAGGACGTTGTGCGTGATATGCAGCAATGGTGAATCGACAACAACAGGATCGAGGCACCCAAAGCTAAGGTCAGCGAGAAGGATGTCGTCGTCGTTGCGCATCAGAAAACGTGGCAGAACTTCTTGAGGGTCTGCATGGGGAAGGCGTGCGACAAGGCGTTCGTGAAACAGACACTCGACAACGAATACAGCAAGGATTGGAGTAACAAACTTCGGGGGTACCTGAACCTCGCCACATCCACCCGCACGGTTTGGCCGCTGGTGGAGAAGTTCTTCGCGATGTTCGAGGAGGGTAAGCTACCAATCGGCGACGGCAAGATCCCACTTGAGATGCCGGGGAGGATGGAGGGGCGCCTGCCCGGCCCGTACACTGACGAGAACAAGGGACAACGGACTTTGTACCACTGCATATATGCGAGAGATGGTCCCAAGGGCTCCACCGTGTCCTGGAAGGATTGTGTCCTACGTACTTCAAGAACTTCAGGGACATGACATGTCGCGAGAGAGAAGTCGCGCTACTCCTTCTCATGTCGGGGAAAGTGGTGGCAACAAAAGTGAGAGTCACGCCTCCGAGGGTGAACATAGAGTGCCTCCTCGACATTATGCGCAAGGAGAGATACATAGTCCGCATGTTCAACTACGTCGTGTTTCGCGCCGAGGGAAGGGCAGGGGACGAATGGAACGACGACTTCTTCATGTCGTACAAGGACCTGGAAGAGAGGTATACTTCAAACGGGTTATGCGCAGATGAATGGGAGAAGCAACGGGAGAAGCTGCATAGCAACTTAGTGAAGACGATCCCTCGGCGACTTGGAGGAGTGGAGGAGGCGAGGCAAGGTGCGGGCTTGGGGCCTACAGAAGTGATGTACAAGGAGGCTCCGTTTCACTTCAAGGTCTTTATATACACCACGATCGATAAGCTCGATATGCTTCCAGCGGAGGTGAAACGGATCGCCTCCAGTACACGCCGTCTTGTGTGGGACAAACTCAGCAGGCAGACCACATTGCTTCCTGTATGCATGCGGTTGAAGGAGGTTATGGCGGCGCCCGTCGACATCGTCGCAGCCGCACAAAAAATGGCATGTAGGGCCGCCATCGTGGACATCTCGACCGTGAATTTCAGCAGTGCATGGACCTCGCAGGACTTCGATGCACTTTACGCAATGATGGCGAAGTGTTGTGGTCCAAATTGGGTCCTCTTCTTCTTTGCACCGCAGAATGTGCAAAGCGATGTCTTGCGTCAATTGTACCATTGGGAGGACATCGAGCTCATCCCCGGGTCATGGAAACGAGTGGACAAGCCGCTGAGCGACGTCACAAGGTACGGCAACATCGCTACGAGCAGTCGGGACCTGATGGCGATCGTGCTGCACGCTGAAGGAGGGGATCTGAAAAAAGTAATTGTCGCACCCCGACTTCACAACGATCTCACCGAAGTGCATGTTGTGGAGGAAAAGTTCGGGAAGTGTCTCGGAAAACACGGTGGCGTCGAGGGCGACGAAAGTGCCGCATATTCAATTTGGGAGCGAGAACCTGCCAAGTTGCGGAAGTTGTGCGGTTCATTCGTAGGAGAGGCGAAAGGTGTGCTTTTGCTAGGTAGGGCGCACGCGGGTCTTGTATGGAAGTTATTGCCTGCAGGTAATAATGTCATTGCCTGTGACGAGTCGGCCAAGAACATTGCATACTTGACAAAGTTCCTCGACATACTTGTTAAGGATGGGAGATTCGAGTGCCGCCTCGAGAAGCCGTGTGCCACACATCGCACGAACAGGGATATGTACCACAAGTTGGGACCGAAAAGACTGAAGGTGTGGGAATACCTGTTCCGCGATGCGCCGGATGGACGCCTTGATGGGGGATACATATATAGGAAAGCCAAGGTGACTGAGGCCCTCAAACATTATCACGGTGCTCTAACTGGCGCCTTCGAGACATTCGTTGCTCGATGCGAGATCTTGAGGTTTGATCTTCACAAAGATAAACAAACGTTTAAGGACTATGCAGGCCTCGCTAAATCGGGTGAAGACTTTAACCCCGTTGACAGCGAGGAAGACTCGTCGGACTCCGACCTCGAGATCGAAAAGGACACCAATGCAACCGGGTGGTGTGGGAAGTCCGCTGCCATGGAGCACAGCGTCAAGGGATATGGACCGGGTCAATCAGAGCGATGCTCGAACCTGCCACCCGCGAACAGTGTAGCCTCGGGTGTGGACCGGGTTGTAGGTACGCCTGTGGAAGACGACGAAGATGATGACCTTGATGTTCCTGCTCAGCCAACGAAGTTGGCGCCAGACGATCCGATTCCTCCCAGATTTTGTGCGGATGCAAACAATGTGTATTTCTTGGATGACAAATATGCCTGCACTAGTGAGGACAAGTGGGGTCATGATATCATTTGGCATAACGACGTTTTCGAGCCATGTATCCAAGGCGAGGAGTGGAAAATGGCGGTGAAGTATGTCTCGAAGGGTTGGAGACCGTTTCCCCGCATGGGAAATGACAACTGGCTGAAGACGACGGAGCAATCAATACTATACCGTTGTCGGAAAGAGAACTCCGTGGAGAGTGAAACATCCATCGCGGCAAAGGCGAAACAATTGTTCGACGTCTTGGGAGCCACTCGGCAGCTAGAGTACTCACACAAGTTTTACGAGCTGCAGTCGACCCCCTCGTACGACAAGATTGACTGGAAGGTTGAGCGCGCCGCCGCGCTCGAGTGCATGGACGTGGACTCCCGAGAAGATGCCGCCTCTGTGCCTGAGGCGGCCACAGGGAATACGATGGGTGAACAAAGGGAAGATGGCGGGACGACGTTTGGCGTGAAGCCTCCGTTGCCAGAGGCGGGGAACACGCCCGCAGGCAAAAACACCATCGGAGTCATCTCTGTCGCAACGGGGGATACATCACAAGGTGAAAGTGTCACTCAACAAGCCGGTGGATGCGGGCGCCACATACGGGAGTCTCCTTGTGACAGGTGCGGCGCTGGTAGGCACATCGGAGATGGTGTCAGAGTCCACTGTTGGGATGGGCATCACGGGGATGTCGTTGCATCCGCCCACATGCACTAGCAAAGGTGACGCACACTGTACAACAACACCATAGGGAGGGGTCACAGGGGATGATGGGAATGGGGGAAATGGAGGGGGGTCTCCACGTTCTCGCAATATTGAGGACATGACGACGGACGATGAGGATATGGTATAAGGCGGAAAGGGCGTGAGCGATCCCACGCGTGCAGAAAATGAGGGGTGAGACAGGGAATGAACTTGAGGGGAATCCTCTTCGCGGGGAAATTTAATGTTTTCGTGTGTGTGCTCATTTGTTTGAAATCTGGGTTTGTGAGCGGAATTTGTTCCTGTGTACAATCGACCTGCAGACTCATTAGTGTTCAATTTCCGGGATTTGGCCTTTTAATTGTTGACAAGAAAATTGTGGGGTGAACAATAGTGTGTCGTAGTATGCGTGTGTGTCYCTCTATATTCRTCAATATGYTGCGTTGTGTAYATGCATGTATGCCGTTGGGGTACRRYGATGAAARGGGGCAGGAGTCAGGATTGATTGGTCCYGAAGTGTTGTCGTTCATCTAAGTGTAAGTTTAGCGAAACATTGATGACATATCTTGAATACATCATTTCCGTTTAGCATGTTATGCTAAGGCACTTACCCATGTACAAGTATCTCAAATGGTCGTCCTCCCCGTTTTTTACACCGCCTGCCCACCCGTTTCTTACTTTCCTGTAAGGGCGACCATTTTTTACACCCCTATCCGCCTCGGTCACCGTTGTTTACACCGTCGTCGATGTCGTATTTGTCGTGTTTGTCGTATGCAGTGCAAATTACAACAACGGATACAAGAAAGTGCAAAAGAGGGTGGACAATGCGCCTCGCAATATCGTCTTTATCAGAGAAGGAGATGAAAGCACTCTCACATGTATGCCGGGAGTACGGGAAAAGGTTCCCAATAGCGAGCACACACAATCGTCGGACGAACGAAGTACTGAAGCTAACTCGAGACAAATTTATTTTACTAGTCGACGAGCGGAACTGGTTAAATGAGAACATCGTCAACTTCTACCTGAACCTTATCGCACTAGACAACTGGTGTAGAATCACACATGTAGAATGCGACGCCGAGAACGAAACCGTGATTAGAATATCAGTGTTGAGCTCGTTTTTCTTCGCCAGACTTTTCGACAGCAAAATGAGATATCAAGAGCGAGAGGTGCAACACTGGTCGAATGACATTATAATAAGTGACATGGACTTGATAATTGTCCCTTTCCATATCGCACACACGAACCACTGGACCCTCGTTGTGGCTGACTTCAGGAGGAGGAAATTTGAATTTTACGACTCCCTCAGCCCCGACAAAGAACTGGCAGCCAAAGTGACAGGCGGATTTGCAAAGTTTTTGTTTAAAAGATCGATTCAGCAAGGCAAAGAGGTGGACACGAAACCGTTTAATCACATATGGACCGTAGAGGGCGTCCCGAAACAACGTGACACTAGCTCGTGTGGGGTCTTCATGCTCGCATACGCATCGCTATTGGCTAGGGGTCACCTTCCGCCTTTCTCTTTCACCGCTGATGACATACCCGCAATACGTCGTCGAATGGCTTTGGACACAGTGGCTCGCGAGTAGTATGAACCTGCTGCTGGATATTGTGATTACATGCGGATGGATGTGGGTAACATTAAATTGTTTGTCATGGAAACAGTGTATAAAAGATGACAACCATTGCTCCAAGTTCCTGCCCCTTACCCCTTGTCTTTTACCCCTTATCCCTTACCCGCAAACCCCTTACCCCTTACCCCTTACCCTTGCATGTATACCCATACCCCAAATTCAAATGCATTTTTGACCCTAAATCACCACAGAAATGACAATTTAAATTTCGTTCAAAAAATATAAAATGTTCGTTTTGACGAAATCGCTGTTCTACACACTCACTCAGCCATGTGTGTGTGTGCGTGTGTGTGTGTGTGTGTGTATGTGTGTGTGTGTGTATGCGTGTGTGTGTGTGTGTATGTGTGTGTGTGTGTGTGTGTGTGTGTGTGTGTGTGTGTGTGTGTGTGTGTGTGTGTGTGTGCTGGACACGCCATGGCACAAACCACCACACCAGGCTAGCTCCGACATTCCGTTGGCAATCCAAACAACTCGCAGGGACAGCACATTCGACGGAAACTTCTACTAGGTTCGACTAGGGGTGAGAACGACTTGTGAGATTGCTAAGCCAGGTGTACATGGTCCTAGGGAGGAAAAAGGAAAGGAGAAGAGGAAAGGGTTGTGTGTGTGTGTGTGTGTGTGTGTGTGTGTGCACGGGCGAGCACACACACAAAATTAGTTTTATGTATGCCTGTTTGTTTTCTTGTTTTTTCTACTTCCTCCGATTTTTCTTGAAGTAGTTTCTGTTTGTTTGAGTGAGCACCCTTAAAAAGTGCTAAACAGTCGGTGATGTGTTGTTTGCACTGATGTCTGTGTGGTGCATATGGTCTGTGGGTGATAACAGATGTACGTCGGGTGACTCCCTGGCTCAGTGGGTGGTGGAACCAACAGTCTTCAAGGTTCACCGGTGATGTGAGTAGGTGTGCTACTTTGCTCCATGTTGGATATGTAAACTGCATCGTCTGCGCTCTGCCGTTGCCTTGCTGCCCGTGCTGCTTGCTTTGGATGTCACTCTTGTCAAGCTGTTGTGTTTGCTGTGTTGTGTGGCTGCCGTGTTTGTGTTGCCCTGTGCTTCGCTGCACTGCTGCCTTGCTGCCCATCCGGTTGCCTTGTCGTCCACGTGCCTTGCTTGTGTCATGTAGTGTGGCTGTTGTGTTGGTGTTGCCTCGTGCTTTGCTGCGCTGTTGCCGTGTTGTTCGTCCGCTTGCCCTGTCGTTCCTTGCAGTCATTTTTGGCGTTGTGCAATTCAGTGGCTTCGGGTGCATTGCCTGGTGCTTCGCAGAGTTGTTGCTCGCCGCTATGTTCCACTTGTGGGCAATCTGCCTTCAACATGGGTCAAAGGGTTCATGACCCAAACCATCAATACGGGCATTCTGCAGATTGTCGAGGGTTCAACCTCCTGATGACTCGGTGCAACTCCAACGAAACAAACTATCATCAGTTCTATTTTTTTCGGTCTTTGAAACGTTTATGGGACTTGTATTTTTTTTTGATTTGCCTGTTTTGTGTGCTTGTGTGTCATCTGCTGTCCTGCCTCCCCCATGCCTCTCCATCCCTAAGGCCTTTTCTTTGTTGTTCCTCGTCGTGTCCGCCGCTTGTATGTCCTCTGTCCTCCCTCCTCTCCGTGCCCTCCAGCCTATATGTGGCCTTGCTGCTTGTTGCCAGCGTGTTTCAAAGTTTGCCTTTTCGCTGCCTTTACACTCGACTCCACTCAGATGCATATTCTCCTCCTGTAGTGTTGCGATGGTATGGTGCGTGCTCTTACCACGTTGAGGTCTCCGCAATATGTGTTCACACACACACACACACACACACACACACACACACACACACACACACACACACACACACACACACACACACACACAGAGGATCGATCGATTTGATCGTGTGTGTGTGTGTGTATGGGCGCACACACACAACGAGGTAAGTTTTCTTTTTATTTTCCTTTTCCACTGTTTTTTTTTTTCCTTTTTCTTTTGTTTGTATTGTTATAGAGGGATGCGGGGGTGCCTGTGTCCCTTCTCCGTGTCCCTCTCCCAGCCTACACAATCCCCTCGTCCCAAACCCTGCCCCCACCCCACCCGCAAATGCGTTGAACGCATTCACCAGCGTTCAGTGAACACGCGTTCAACATGTTAAAAACTAAATGTGGAACCCGCGTTCATTTAACGCACGGTTACACAGCCCGAGTCCATTGTCCATCAAGCCAAAGGTCCTTGCCAATGTAATGATTCTGGGCGGGGTGCGCCCAAGGGACCGGATTCACGGAGCCTGGGGAGGGCAATCCTGGACCGATTGCAATGACCGGGGTGTGAGGCTCACAAAAGTGGTATGCATATAGGGAAGGGTGTTAGGGAGTTATGATGACCAGTCACCCCCAGGGTGGCTGTGCCCTAGAAAGCCCACCCCTGCTGAAGGATCACCTACACCAATGGCGGCTCCCTGTTCAAAATCGGAGAACTGTTGACCGCATGGGCCTCTTTACACTACTCGCCAATGTGCAAAATGAGAATGAATCTTCCTCTAGAACATGGAAAGCTGCGCCTCCATGTTTTTTGTCTTTTGTGCATATGGAGAGTACTAGAGCGAGGCTCCATCTAATAACCATGGCGCAGATGCTTGTAGAAAGCTCTGACGTAGTCACATATGTCTTCTGACTTTCTTGCCGTTGGGAGAGAAGTATCAATAGGGCGTTTCATCTCAAGCATTACTGGGTTACCACCTTTCGTTTTGATGGAAGCGAAGGTTGTGTTACTCGTTCTATCCGTTTGCAATATTCCATCCACCACTCTGCTTTTTTTCCCACAAATTGTGCTTTTGGATCTGTTAAGTTCGGCCATTAAGTAATGAGCTTTTTCAAAAAAGTAAGGATTGTAGCAATGGGACGCTGGACCTGGTTTCCAGCACAGGGGTCATTGAAACTCATTCCTTTTGCCACTATTAAAATTTTTATAATGTAAGGGACACTGGACCCGGTTTCCAGCAGGTGCAGCTCCCCACCAATAGATGAAGATACTTTTCTTAAAAAAAAAAAAAAAAAAAAAAAAGTTCGGCTAAATCAATCAATCAATCAGTGCAATCCGGTCATCAATGACCCCGGACACAAGCCCTTCAACATCTGCGTTTGTTATCGGTCCCGGTCTTCTCTTGGTCATCTGAGCTGTATCGGGAATGCTGAAAATCCCAGTCCAGTGTGTGCAGTCTCCTCTACTCTACCCCGCTGAATGTCTTCTCCGGCAGCCAGTTGTCCGTTCGTCAACTTGTATACGACATCAGCCGCTCCTTCCGTCCCTCCAAGAACACATCTGTGTAGTCCTCCTCTAAAGATACGATCCACCCGCGACACAAGTACTGCCAAGCCTTGCGTTCCATCACGGCAGAAACGAGGCTTTGCAGAGCACGACCCCTTACCGATTCCCAGTTTGCGCCTGTCAAATACCAACCCGCTTGATGCACACTCACATGCAGGCAGACATGGTTCCCTCGCCAGTCGTTAGCGATCACT